TGAATGAGGATGTGCCGAACGAATGTCCGGCATGCGGAGAGACCCCACATGACTCGAACCATCTCTTCGCATGCCCGGAAAACCCGACAACCCTAACGGCCCTGTCCCTGTGGATAGATCCCACAGAAGCTGCACGCTTCCTAGGGTTGCCGTTAGTGGAACTTGACGACAACGACTGAGATACCAACCGATCTGGGCGGGGTTGTTGTAGCCGCTACAACAACAACAACAATAAATGAAGTGAAACTCAGGGCTTGCTCGCAATCAAAACAGATATATGTACATATATACTGTAGTGTCGCTGCTGGCTATAGTTACTGCAATGACAGTATTTGTTTGCTTACTGCAAATAGCGATTTGCACTAAATACACCAAAATAACGGGACAGTACTGCGGGTGCAGTAAAACAATTGCGTATGCAGTAATAAACAATCACGACATCTTTAATAAATTAACAACTGTCTTTAATTAAAAATAAAACTAAATCGCAGAGCCTTAATTTTTATAATTTTTGGACAAGTTTATAATGAACCGAAAGTGTAAGACAGCTGCTTTCAGTATTAAGTATTATGTTTATGTGCATATGTACATAAGCAAGTATGCACATGTAAATGAAGGATCCTTATTCTATATTAAGGAAAATTATCGGAAGTAAACAGTTTTTTTATTCATTTTGTTTAGATTTATTGTCGGGTTTTTCAGTTATATGTTCTCAGCTAATTTATTTACACAAATCCTTGCATTTCAAATTTAACAAAATATTAATTTATTGTACATAATAAAAGTTGTATATTTTTTCATTTACTGTATTTGTGTTCCAGGACAATAACAAATTATGTATGTATGTATACTTGGATGTATTTATTGCTTGATATATTATTTAAAAAAATAAAATATGCCATACAGTTGGGTATATTTGTATCGTTATATTCAATAATCTATGTACATATGTATGTATGTATATCAACAATTGTGCTGCTTATGGAAAATATAAGTGAAGCTTCTCATCACTTTTTTTTTT